ATAGCAGGGGACTTGAATGCCCCATTTTCATCAATAGACACATCATCTAAGCAAAAAATCAGCAAGGAAACAATGGCTTTGAATGACACACTGGACCAGATGCACTTAACAAATATATCAGAACATTTCATTCTAAAGAAGCAAAATACACATTCATTTCAAATAAACATGGGACATTCTCCAGAACAAATCACATACTAGGTCACAAATCAGGCTTCATCACATACAAAAAGAATAGGATTGTATCATGCATCTTTTCTGGCCACAGCACTAGGAAACTTAAAGTCAATCTCGAGAAAAAAAAATGGGAAAAAACACAAATACATGGAGGTTAAACAACAAGCCACTAAAAATGAACGGGTCAACCAAAAAAAGAAGAAGAAATTAAAAAACAAACAAACATGGCAACAAAAGAAAATGAAAACACAATGGTCCAAAACTTCTGGGATGCAGAAAAGGCAGTCATAAGTGGGAAGTATACAGCAATACAAGGCTACCTCAAGAGACAAAAAAAAAATTTTAAAAACCTAACATTACATCTAAAAAGAGCTACAAAAAAAAAAAAAAAGAAGTCTGAAGCCAGCAGAAGGTAAATAATAAACAGTACAACAGAAGTAAATGATTTAGAAAGTAAAAAAAAAAATAGATCAAGAAAACCAGCTCTTTATTTGAAAAAAAATTAATAAAATCGATACAGCCCTAGGCAGATTTATCAGAAAGAGAAGAACCCCAATAAAAAAATGACAAATGAGAGAGGAGAAACATCTAACAGAAATACATACAATTATAAGATTATAGGATGAAAAATTATATTCCAACAAATCAGAATACTTGGAAGAAATACATAAATTTCTAGAAACATAAAATACCAAAACTAAAACAGGAAGAAATACACAACTTGAATAGACTGATAACCAGCAAAAAAACTGAATCAGGAATCAAAAATCTCTAACAAGGGGTGCCTGGGTGGCTCAGTCAGTAAAGCATCCGACTTCAGCACAGGTCATGATCTCACGGTTCGTGGGTTTGAGCCCTGCATTGGGCTCTGTGCTCTCAGCTCGCTCAGAGCCTGGAGCCTGCTACGGATTCTGTGTCTCCCTCTCTCTCTGACCCTCCCTTGCTCACGCTGTCTCTCTCTCCCTCTCTCTCTCAGAAATAAATTTAAAAAAAAAACATTTAAAAATATTTTTTTTTTTTTTACAAAGTTTATTGTCAAATTAGTTTCCACATAACACTCAGTGCTCATCCCCAAAGTGCCCTCCTCCATGCCCATCCCCCCCTCCCCCCCACATCCATCAGTCCTCAGTTTTTGTCAGCATTCAAGAGTCTCTCATGGTTTGCCTCTCTCCCTTTCCCCCACCATTTCCGCCCTTCTTCTCCCCCTTGTCCCTCCATCAAGTTCCTCCTAATCCTCCTATACGTGCAAACATATGATATTTGTCCTTCTCTGCCCGACTTATTTCGCTCAGCATAACACCCTCAAGGTCCATCCATGTGGCTACACATGGCCAGATTTCATTGTTTCTCATTGCCATGTAGTATTCCATGGTATAGATAAACCACATCTTCTTGATCCATTCATCTGTTGATGGACACTTAGGCTCTTTCCATGTTTTAGCTATTGTGGAGAGTGCTGCTATGAACATTGGGGTCCATGTGCTCCTATGCCTCAGCATTTCTGTATCCCTTGGGTAAATTCCTAGCAGTGCTATTGCTGGGTCATAGGGGAGTTCTATTGTTAGTTTCCTGAGGAACCTCCACACTGTTTTCCAGAGGGGCTGTACCAGTTTACATTCCCACCAACAGTGTAGGAGGGTGCCCGTTTCTCCACATCCTCGCCAGCATCTAGAGTTCTCTGATTTGCTCATTTTAGCCACTCTGACTGGTGTGAGCCAAGGAAACAACCCAGAAAATTAATAGGCAACCAACGGAATGGGAAAAGATAGTTGCAAATGACATATCAGATAAGGGGTTAATATCCAGAATCTAGAAGGAACTCACCAAACTACACGCCCGAAAAACAAACAACCCAGTGAAGAAATGGGCAGAAGACATGAACAGACACTTCTCCAAAGAGGACATCCAGATGGCCAACAGACACATGAAACGATGCTCAGCATCCCTCCTCATCAGGGAAATACAAATCAAAAATAATTTTTTTTAAATCTCTAACAAACCAAAGTCCAGGGCCAGATGGCTTCCTGGGGGGGATTGCTACCAAATATATAAAGAAGAGTTAATACCTATTCTTCTCAAACTATTCCAAAAAACAGAAATGGAAGGAAAACTTCCAAACTAATTTTAGAGGCAGCATTACCCTAATTCCAAAACCAGACAGACTCCACTAAGAAAGAGAACTAGAGGCCAATATCCCTAATGAACATGGATGCAAAAATTCTCAAAAAAAAAAAAAAATACTAGCAAATTGAATCCAAAAAGATGTTGAAATAATCATTCATGGGGTGCCTACATGGCTCAGTCAACTGAGCACCCAACTCTTCATTTAGGCTCAGGTCATGATCCCAGAGCCTCGGGATGCAGCCCTGTGTTGGACTCTACACTGAGCACAGAACATAAGATTCTCTCTCTCCTTCTCTTTCTGACCCTCCTGTCCAGTTGGGGAATAAATTTAAAATAAATTTTAAAAAATAAAATAAAAAGGAATTTCACCTGTTTTAAACTCATTTTTTCCTTTCTTGAAAATTTCCCTTAACACCATCCAACAAGACATAATTTCTATTTTTTTTAATTTTTATTGATTTTAGAGAGAGAAAGAAAGCACAAGGATGAGCCAGAAAAGAGCAGGGCGGGGCAGAAGATCCCAAGCAGACTCTGTGCTGTGGGACTCAAACTCACAAACCGTGAGATCATGAATTGAGCCTAAGTCAGACACAACCAAATGAGCCACCCAGGTGCCCCGCAAGACATTATTTCTAGAAGAAATCAGGTTCCTGAAGCTTCAAAATCAATTAGGAAGATTTTACTTATAACTAGCTTCTTAATTCAATCAAATGACACAGATTTCATTAGAGTATCACATATGATTTAATCATGCACATACTACATAAAAGTTATTCTATTAACATTAATTATAGAGAGTCAAGGAATTCTAACAAATCTGCAACAACAAAACAATAAGTGCTATACATGTTCATGTTTTATTAAGTTTGTTAATTAAACTAGGATATCTTAACTTATTAACTGCAGCAGGAGAGTCCTCTTAACTTTCAGGCCTACTACCAAAAGTAACACTTTATGGACAATCTTAGAAATAAGACCTCAAAAAGAATAATCAACAAAAAATTCCAAATGTGTAATTTCTATTGTGAGCCTGATGTATATTTTTCCAAAAGGTAACATAGCCAAAGACATCTAATTTTATTTGCCTTGTAGTATAAATTTTTAATTATCTGCCCCACCTGTACAGTCCTCCCTAGAAACTTGTTCAGTTTTGTCAAATTTCATTCTATGTCCTGAATGTGATAAATCCTGTGCCATTTTCTTCCTCCTCATTTCACTTCTAATTGATCATCTTGCCTCTACCACAGTCAAGGAGCCTAGGGAACAGGAAGGAGTCAAAGAAGTAGTAGGAGGGCCCTGATCAAGTTTTGAGGTCCACTTAAGTACCTCGATCACAATTTCCACTCCATCAACACTACATCAAGATACCATTTTTAAATTACACTGAAGAAAAATGTTTTATTTGATTGATGGAATTCTTATACAGGTTTAAAAGGAATTCATGTTGTAGGGAGAGGGGATAAAATTAGCATCAATTTCCTGACAAAATTGCAGTTACATATAGATAACTAAAGACAAATCAAATACGATCTTTTCCAGATGGGTATTTTTTAACTCACCGCCCATATGGCCAAGAAGGCTTAGAGGACTCCTTCCATTGGTCTATAATCCTAGATGTTGTAATTCATCTTAATATCTTTTTATTTTTAACAAGTTAACACTCTACTGAATAGTTAATGTCAAATTTCCAATACTAAAAACCCCCACAGATATTAGCACCTGCTTTCTTTAAAAATGTTTATTTAGAGAGAGACAGAGAGACAGCAAGAGGAGGGACAGAGAGACAGGGACAGAGATAATCCCAAACAAGCTCCATACTCACCACAGAGCCTGACCCAGGGCTCTAACTCATATGACTGTGAAATCATGACCTGAGACAAAATCAAAAGTCAGCTCCACTCTACCAACTGAGCCACCCAGACACCCCATCATCAGTATTTTTATAGGTAAGGAAGGTAAAAGAAAATGGGCTTGATGAGGTTGAGAAAGTTGCACATACACCACTAATTTAAAAAAGTGAAAAAGGGGCCTAAGCCTGTCCAACTCCACAGCCTATGGTTATTATGCTATACCAAGTGTGTACAACACCTTGCAAATTTAGACTATACACCTATTACCTTATTTTTAAGATTTTATCTACGAATCTAAGAACAAAACAAAGATGTCCTAGACATTACAAAAGGTCTTTTGCATTCCTGTATTCTTTTGGTGACATAAAACACAGTATTCTGTGTCGTCTTAAAATGTTTCACTTTAAGGGTGTGAAAATCTTGCCTGGTTATTTGTGCTGGAAAGTAAACCAGTTCCGAAAAGTCAAAACACAATTTGAGTGTGATCAGCCAAATTTTTGATAATTATGTGTGTCCTAGACTCGAGAATTTCTTTAGGTATTTTCAGGCAAGTATACATTGCTTCTCATTTATTCAAGGTGCATTCATGACCATACTCTGAAGACATTATTACATTTTTCTCCAAAATGCTCATGTTATGATGAGGGACTGGACTGTAAGAAAAGACAAATCCCAGTACAGTCCATGACTTACAATACTTTAAGTTTCCTTAAAAATAAACTTGATGTCTTTAGGTGATCATGCCCATTTTAAACAGATACTGAAATAGGATTTCATCAAAATCCAGCAAGTCAACATTTGCTATTTTATTTGCATCGTTTATCCATCTTCAGAAGTATAAACACTTACCCCATGTTCCTTAGCAGCTGAGACAACTTTAAGAAGGACATCTTCCTCCACAAATGGTCTCACAGCATCATGGATTATCACAACTTCAGGCTTAGAGAGTTTAGAGTCAGGCTGGTCCTCTGCTAGTGCTTTTAGTCCATTGAAAATTGACCTGTGGCGGGTCACTCCAGCTTCAACCAGTGAGATGCGTTGATGCTGGTACTTCTGAAGGATACTCTTCATTGCTTCCATATTCTCTCCAGTTACTGCCACGACAATGTCCTTTATCCAACATACTCTAAATTGAAAGTGTACATATATTTAATATAAATTGAACCTTATTACAAGTTAAGCTAGTAACAAAACTGAATTGTTAAGTACTACTGTAACTCCATAGGGATATCAAAAACTGAAAGTGAAAGTAAATCACTTATATATTTTATTATGTCTAGTGAAAAGGTTGATAAGCAGTGAATATTTCACACTATAGATAGTAACAGATGTAGTTAATGTTATATAGTCCATAGTCAAATTTTACCTATATAAATACAACAGATACAGATTCCAGAATAAGTTTGAATTCTATTATGAGTACGTGGAGATAAAATATAGTAATAGGGGGCGCCTGGGTGGCTTAGTCGGTTAGGCGTCTGACTTTTGCTTAGGTCATGATCTCGCAGTTCGTGTGTTCGAGCCCCGCGTCGGGCTCTGTGCTGACTGCCAGCTTAGAGCCTGGAGCCTGTTTCAGAGTCTGTGACTCCCTCTCTCTTTGACCCTCCCCTGCTCACGCTCGCGCTCGCGCGCTCTCTCTCTCTCTCTCTCTCAGAAATCAATAAAACATTAAAATGTTTCTAAAAACATTCTATTTATAGAAATAAAACTATTACTATATGATAGTCCTTTAAATTGATTTTTTCTAAATGATTTGTTCAATAAAATAGGAACAATTCAAAGCAGTATTGAATACCAGAAGTTCTGTCTCTCTCAAGAACTCCAACGAATTACTAACAAAGCTGGATAATAATCTAACACAAACTTTGCCTACATCAAAGTGAAACATCAAAGCTTGAACAGGGAAACTAAAATCATATAAGGCTCAAAATGATAAACTTTGTAATAAAATATAAAATAAAAAATTAACCTGTTGAGTCATATAAAGTATTAAGCATTTTTTCTATTATAAAAAGTTTTTAAGGGGTGCCTGGGTTGCTCAATCGGTTAAGTGTCCGACTTCAGCACAGGTCATGATCTCATGGTTCATGGGTTCAAGCCCGACGTCGGGCTCTGTGCTGACAGCTAGCTCAGAGCCTGGAGCCTGTTTCAGATTCTGTGTCTCCCTCTCTCTCTGACCCTCCCCTGCTCAAACCGTGTCTCTCTCTCTCTCAGAAATAAAAAACATAAATACATACATACATCAAAAATTTTTAAGACTGATATATTGCACTGCACACTCCATAGCATTGAGTAGCAACTGCATTAAATTTTAGCAGACTTTGGGGTGCCTGGGTGGCTCAGTCAGTTAAGAGTCCGACTTCAGCTTGGGTCATGATCTCACAGCTCGTGGGTTCAAGCCCCGCATCGGGCTCTGTGCTGACAGCTCAGAGCCTAGAGGCTGCTTCAGATTCTGTGTTTTCTTCTCTTTCTCTGCCCCTCCCCTGCTCATGCTCATTCTCTTTTTCAAAAATAAATGTTAAAAAAGTTTTTGGCAGACTTCTTGAATACCAGCACTAATAGAGCTTGATGTCCTTACAGACTCTATGTTCCACAGCCAACAGACTCAAACCGGACAAACTGCCTCTGACTCATTATATCAACTCTGAATAAATGTCTCTTTAAAATTAATTAATTCATGTCTTTTGATAGGTCATTTACAAATATCTTTTCTATTTCTGTCAGTTGCCTTTTATATTTGTTGAATGTTTCCTTTGCAGTGCAGAAACTGTTTATCTTGACGAGGTCCCAATAGTTAATTTTTGCTGTGACCTCCCTTGCTTTTGGAGATGTGTCAAGCAAGAAACTGCTGAGGCTGAGGTCAAAGAGGTTATTGCCTTCTTTCTCCTCTAGGGTTTTGATGGTTTTCTGTCTCACATGCCATTTGCAGCAACATAGATAGAACTGGAGGGTATTATGCTGAATGAAATAAGTCAGTTAGAGAAGGACAGATATCATATGTTTTCACTCATATGTGGATCTTGAGAAACTTAGAAGAAGATCCATGGGGGAAGGAAAGGGAAAAAATAACTACAGCAAAGAGGGAGGGAGGCAAACCACAAGAGACCCTTAAATACAGAGAACAAACTGAGGGTGGATGGGCAGGTTGGGGAGAGGGGAAGATGGGTGATGGACATGGAGGAGGGGACTTGTTAGGATGAGTACTGGGTGTTGTATGTAATCCGATTTGGCAATAAATTGTATTAAAAATAATAAAATTAATTTTAATTTACCTCCAAGTTAGTTAGCATATAGTGCAATTCTGATTTCAGGAGTAGATTCCAATGATTCATCTCCTAGGTATAACACCCAGTGCTCATTCCATCAAGTGTCTTCCTTAATGCCCCTCACCCATTTAGCCCGTCCTCCCACCCACAACCCCTCCAGCAACCCTCAGTTTATTCTCTGTATTTAAGAGTCTCTTATGCTTTGTCCCTCTGTTTTTATATTATTTTTGCTTCCTTTCCTTTATGTTCAACTGTTTTATATCTTAAATTCCTCATATGAGTGAAGTCATATCAGTGTCTTTCTCTAACTTCCCTCTAGTTCCATCCACGTTGTTGCAAATGGCAAGATTTCATTCTTTTTGATTGCTGTGTGTGTATATACTCACGTGCGCACATGCACACACACACACACCACATGTTATTTGTCCATTCATCTGTTGATGGACATTTGGGCTCTTTCCATACCTTGACTATTGTTGATAGTCCTTCTATAAATATTGGGGTGCATGTGCCCCTTTGAAACAACACATCTTTGTCTTCTTTGGATAAATACTTAGTAGTCCAATTGCTGGGTCATACAGTAAGTTCTATTTTTGTTTCTTGAGGAACCTCCATACTGTTTTCCAAAGTGGCTGCACTAGTTTGCATTCCCACCAGCAATGCAAAAGAGACCCTCCTTCTGCACATTCTCGTCAACATCTGTTGTGGGCTGAGCTGTTAATTTTACCCATTCTGATGGGTGTGAGGTGGTATCTCATTGTGGTTTTCATTTGTATTTCCCTAATGATGAATGACGTTGAGCATTTTTTCTTGTTTATGTTGGCCATCTGGAGGTCTTCTTTGGAGAAGTGTCTATTCATGTCTTTTGCCCATTTCTTCACTGGACTGTTTTTTGGGTGTTGAGTTTGATAAGTTCTTTATAGATTTTGGGACAAATCCTTTACCTGATATGTAATTTCTCTCATTCCATCAGTTGCCTTTTAGTTTTGCTGATTGTTTCCTTTGTTGTGCAGAAGCTTTTTATCTTGATGAAATCCCAATAGTTCATTTTTGCTTTTGTTTCATTTGCCTCTGGAAACAGGTTGAATAAGAAGTCGCCACAGCAGAGGTCAGAGGTTTTTGCCTTCTTTCTCCTTAAGGATGTTGATGGCTTCCTGTCTTACATTAGGTCTTTCATCCATTTTGAATTTATTTTTATGCACAGTGTAAGAAAGTGGTCCAGGTTCATTTTTCTGCATGTCACTGTCCAGTTTTCCCAGCAACGTTTGTTGAAGAACCTGTCTTTATTCCATTGGATACTCCTTCCTATTTTGTCAAAGATTAGTTGGCCATGCGTCTGTGGGTCCATTTCTGAGTTCTTTATTTGGTTCCATTGACCGGAGTGTCTGTTTTTGTGTCAGTACCATACTGTCTTGATAATTACAGCTTTGTAATACATCTTCAAGTCTGGGACTGTGATGCCCCCAGTTTTGGTTTTTTCAATACTGCTTTGGGGTCTTTTCTGGTTCCAGACAAAGAACTCTTAGCCTATGAGATCCTCTATGTTCATGCTATACAGTTAAAATCCTATGCACATTTTTTCAGAGATGGAAGGATCTGAAAATTACTGAGTGAAAGGAGTTTTGTTTATGTGAACATTTGGTTGATTACTCAATTATTAACCTCCAACCTTCTATGATTGAACCAACTCTTTCCAAACACCAAGAACTACTTTATAGGCATAATGTCCTTTTAAGTTCTTTCCTTTAGTAAGTATTTACTGAATGATGATGGTAATAAACAAATCCTAAGCATTGAAAATACAACGAAAATAAACACTGCCTTTGCAGAGCGTACAGATCAAAGAACCCCAAGGAACAATGGCAAGCTCTGATCAAGTGTCCTGAAGAAATCCAGGCTCCAGAAATACATGCAAGCAGACCATCTGACTAGAACAGAAAAGGCCAAGATGATATTATTCCCTAAGGAAGCAGAATGTGCTGTAGGATCCAAATACTGAGTGTCAGGAAAAAAAAAATAGGCAAAGGAATATGAAGGTCTGCTATAAGCCAAAGCCATCCAAGGTCTTGAGGACCGGGAAGCAAATGGAGTCAAATCATTTCAGCAATGGAAGGGGAGGAGAGCCTACGAAAAAGCTGGAGGTCCAGGCAAGAGTCAGAATGGGCTAGGCCATGGGGCCTCTCAGACAATGTGATGGGCTTTAATGTTATAACACAAAGCCATAAACAGAACTTTTATGCAGAACATTTATACCTTAAAAAAAAAGTGCTTACTTACCCAGTTATTTATCATGTCATAAAATAGTGCCTAGAAAACTGTGATAGGCAGAAAGGCCCCTAAAAGACAGTTATTTCCTAATTACCCAAACCTGCGAAGGGATAACCCTACATGTCAAAGGAACTTTACAGATGTGGTAAACCTCAGAGCTTTAGATGGAATGGTTATCCTAGACTACCTAGGTATGTCTGATATAATCACAGGAGTCCTTAGATGTGAATCAGAGGCAGAAGAATCAAAGTAGGAGATGAGTTAACAGAAGCAGTGGCCAGTGTGATACAGGACCACAAGTGTAGGAATATAAGCAACCTCGAAAACTAGAAAGTGTCAAGTAAATGGACTGTCCCTAGAGTGTCCAGAACATAGAACTGTCAATACCTTTGTATTTTAGCCCAGTGGTACCTACTGAAAACTTCTAACTTCCAGAAGTTGAAGGTAATAATGACATGCTGCTTTAAGCTACTCACTCCATGGGTTAGTTTTGTTGTTGTTGTTTTTTTAACAGCAGCTAATTTAGTGCACTCAGTTTTACTCTTGCTACAAGGTAGAGAAGACCTCTGGTAGAGAAAGAGAGGATGCAGTT